AGCTCCTCGCCACCATCGCCTTCTTCAGCGCTTTCGCTGCAGCTGCGCCAGTCCTCGACGCACGCGCTACTACCACCGCGAAGACCTCCAGTGCTCTCAAGACTAGCAGCGCAGCAGCCGTCAAGTCCAGCAGCGCAGCTGCAGTCGTCACTGCGAAGTCTAGCAGTGCAGCAGTCGTTTCGAAGGCTAGCAGCTCCGCGGTAGTTTCCAAGGCCAGCAGCTCTGCCATCGTCTCTAAGGTCAGCAGCGCTGCCAGCTCAGTCATCACTTCGAAGGCCAGCAGCGCAGCCGCCACAACAACGGGTACCGCACCTCTGCTTGGTGTCAATGTCGGTGGATCGTCCTCACCTCTTTTGGGAGTCAAGGTCTCGTCTTCGACCTTGTTGGCCGTCGACGTTAGCCTGGGAGCTTCATCCGTCAAGGCCTCATCAGTAGCCACCATCACTGCGGCGCCCACTTCCGCTCCAGCTACAGCTTCCACTGCTCTGCCGTCCACCTTCTCCGCTCCAGTCCAGGGACAAGGCAAGCTCACGCTCGACAACCTTCCCGCGATGCCGGGCGTGATCGACAAAGCCTTCTCCGGTGTTCTTGGTGCTGCCTATGGTCTCAGTAAGTGATCCATACTTGCAATTTGCTTTCGAAGCGATCAGTCGACTAACTCGCATAACAGTGTCGGGTGCATGCGATTCATCGTACAAGTGCAACATCACCGTAGCTGGTACACTCAACAACCTTCTCATTGACGGCAACAACTACGGTACCAACACCAGTGTGGCAGCATGGTGCGACGGAGGCCGCTGCTATGGTGCTGCCAGTGCCCCGTTGAGCGCGACAGCTCCTTTCATCATCACTTGCGATCAGCTCAGCGGTACACAAGTCTGCTCCGCGACCATCTCTGGCGCGGCAAATGCTATCTTCCAGAACGGAGAGTCTGTTGGTAAGTCATCTTCCATTATATTGTCGCGACTTGCAGCTAATCTTGTGTAGAACTTTGGGGCTGGCTTACACCCGCCGGATACTGCCAGAACGGTGTGTGCACTGCATCTATCACTGCTGTTGGCGACCCAATGTACTGAGCGAGAGAATGAGTTGGGCTTAAGAACCGATGCGACGCCGACGAGGAAGACAATGCCGAGGAGGACAAGAGATTCTGTACTATGTTGAGTATCTACCTGTTAGGGTTTATAGGCCCGCCTAATATCGTGCTTGCTTTGGGTTTTACTTTCATAGCTGTTTCGATAGGCTTAATGCGACATGATCTTTCTTACTCTTGCCTTTGACGTAGTTGACATCTCTGTGCGTGAGACTGAAGTCACATACCACAGCGGGAAATGTGTGGATCGTTGTCTAAGATTCTTACCCCGCTTGGCGCAATGTCAAGGGCTTTAGTGAAGGGGACCTGTTGGACGCCTGACATGTCTCTCTAGTATCTGAATCGCGCGAGATCAGAAATCGAAAAATACCTGCTGCGACTGCGTATCTGCTTCTGTGTTGGGACGTCATGAGAACAGCGGCAAGCGCGTGCTAGCGCCGCGCTTCGCGTCTCCCCCAACACGTCTCTATAAAGAATAGAGTGCGCCTTTAACTTAGACTATAGTCTAGTCCTAGGTTCTTAGTCTTTAAAATTATACTTTAGTATATAGTATAATTATAATAGCTTTAATAGTGCCTTGTGCCTAATTTTATAGACTCTGTTTAGTAAAAAGACATTAAAAGACGCCTAGCTTTTAATATTATTCTAGAACTACTAGAAGATTTTAAAATTTTAATATATTTAGTATATATTACTATTAGCACTAAGGCTTCTAAAGAGAAACTTTTTAACGCCTTACTATATTTAATCTTTAGCTATTAATATAATATAACTTAAGCTAATAAAGATAACTACTTCTCTAGATCTTAATAGAACTTAAAGTAGTCTATTATAGCTACTATCTAATAAATAGTATCTTTTTATAGAAAATAAGCTATAAATACTATATTTTTTTTATTTTATATCTTAGAACTTTTATAAAGTATTTTAGCTAAGGCCTTATATTACTAATATATAGCTTTTTTAATAGCTAGAAATAGTAATAGTATTACTATAAGCTTTACTATATATACTAAGTTATAAAAAAAAATAGCGTAAGTAATAAAGTTAGTGCTAATATATCTTATAAAAGAGTAATATTACTATTTTATTATAAGTAAGAAATTAATATTACGCTTAATAAAGAGCTTATATATCTTACTAATAAGCTTTTAGAAAGTAAAGCTAAAAAAGAAAATAATAGAAAGCTTTATACTAGTTATATATATAATAAAGATAATAGAAATAATAGAAATAAAGATAATAGAAATATTAATAGGCCTAGCGTATAGCTCTAAAGTACTAGTAAAGTAGCGCTATAAAGCGCTTATAATAGCTTTTAGTATAGCTAGAATAGAGTAGTTTATAGTAGCTTTTATAATAGCTTCTAAAATAATAACCTTAAAAGAACTTATAGAGGTAGATAGTAACGCGTTTAAAAGAAAAGTAATTAATATAGTAATAATAATAAAGCTTAATTAAGCTTTAGTAAGTAAGGTAATATAACTAGTAATAAGATTAGCTTTAGATAGACTTACTAATACTAGAAGAACTTATAAAAGAGTAGTAACGTAGTTAAAAGCTTATTTAGTTAGTATAGCTTTAGTATTAGATTTAAGCTACTATTTATATCTTTAATAAGTTTTTAAATTTCTAATTTACTATAAGCTATAAAATAAAAATAAGAATAAGAATAAGAATTTTATAAGCTAAGATTTTAGTATTTTATTACTTTATAATCTATAGCTTAGTTAGTTATAAGCTATTAAAAATATATAATTATATTATAATTCTCTCTACTATAATATAAGTAGACGTTAGTATTTATAAAATAGTTATTTTACTACTTTAAATTTTAAAAGCTTTAACTATACTAGAGGTAGTAGCGCTAAAAACCTAAGCCTTAGCTTACCTAATACCTACACCTCTAAACGTAAGATTTTAACTTTTTTAAAAATACGTCTTTTTATATACTAGTAATAGACTTTACTCTTTTTAGACTAGCTTTTATTATAGAATTATTAGTTTACTAATAAATAATAGCTTTAATATTATTTACTAAAGTATCTAGTATATTACTATAGTACTATAGTTATTAGTAGAGCTAATAGTTTAGAAAAATACTATTAGTTACTAAAAGATACTAGTAACTTCTAAAAGAATATTTCTTAGTTATAATAAGTTAAAGTTTTTAAGTATAATAGTATATAAAGCTATATACTACTAATATTCTTCTTTTTCTTTTATATAATACTAAAAGCTAATATAATTAAAATACTTTTAACTCTTACTAATCTATTACTTAAATAGTTAAAAATTATACTAAAGCCTTATATAGGCTTAAAAGTTAAAGTAGATAAATAAAATATCTAAAAAGTTAAATTTTCTATATTACTATTACCTAGTAAAAAGAATAATAAATAGCTAACTTACTAAGTATTACTTTTATAGTATAAAAGCTTCTAAAGTATATAATAAAAGTTTTTATTAATTACTAGATACTAATAGTATACTTAAAGTTATTACGCTAGCTATATAAGCTTTAGTAAATACTAAGATTTTTATAATTAAAGTACTATAAGTAAGACTTAAAGTATAGCTTACTATAACTAGTAAGAAAAAAAAATATTTTAGGTATCTTTTAGTTTAGTAAAAAAAGATAATATAAAACTTATTATTACTATATAAATAAAGAGTTAATAAGTTATTATTAAAGATAAATTACGTAGTATAAGTTAAGTAGCGTAGCTAAAAGTAGTAAAGTAGTAACTATAAACTAGCTTCTAGTAAAATTAATAAAGTGTATTAAAATATTCTTAAAGACTTTGTGTAACACGTCTCTTTCTAATAGTAGTAATCTAACGTTTACAGAATTGCAACTGCATAAAAGCGCGAGCGAAATTGCAAATAATTTATACGCATTTCAAATTTGCTACGCCCTTATTAGACCAAATCAGTCAGCAGGTTTCGCACACGCTGTTATGGTTTCCTGGTCTCCACTATGGCTCCGCCTTTATTGCAACGGTGAATTCTTCTCGGGGCATTTCGCAACCACGACAAAAAACGAAGGATTCACTAGCCGGGTTCATGACGTAGGACCAAATGGATTGGAAATCGTTATACTTTCCATTCTGGCAATTTCAGAAATCCTTCACGTCTACATCGCAATCGCGCCAGGCGTTGTGGGAGTTGTAGTTAGCTGAAGTTGCGCTACGTCTTCGTAACAAAACAAAAGCAGACACTGCGCACTGCCTGTATAGCTCACACAATACAGGTATAAGCAAACGCCTTAGGATCATAGTGTTTCGTTTTAACAAAGAGGCTATCGCGCTCGTGGACTACGACTCATGAGTGGGTTCACACAGCGTCCAAAATAGGTTACTATACCGTCCAACCTGGCTTAATACAACGTCCACAGTGGGTTGATACATTGTTCACAGTGGATCGTTGGATCCAAGAGGCTATCGCTCTCGTGAACTACGACTCATGAGTGGATTCACACAGCGTCCAAAGTGGGATGATACAGCGTTCAAACTGAGTCGATACAGCATCCACAGTGGGTTGATGCAGCGTCGAAAGCGGATTGTTACAGCGTCGAAAGTGGACGCACGACTAGGTCCAGCCTGCAATGAAGTCACGGATACGCTCAGGATTGAGGACGTTGCCGGACGGGAGCCCACCAAGCTTATCGTGATGAAGACTTTTCTTTTAGGATCAGCGTTTGTGAGACCGCGTGTTGTCAGCGCCTTTGATCACAGACTGCCGTATAAGTCTACTTGATGCCCATCCTTTCACGCATCGGACAACCCAATTGTTCGCGATCTATGCGGTCAGGATGCTGTCCAACATCTCGATTGATGGACTACCACAAGTCCCATATGCTCCGTCAAACTTGTCCCCAGTATCACTGGGGCAGCCTTTCCCAGCAATGATTGCCATCTTGCTAGGGCTTGTGGCCGTACTCTCGGTCGTCGTTAGCACCAGCGGAAAACCGAAACCACCGCTAGCAAATCCTCCACGCTGGTACCAAACTACTTTGTCAAAACGGATTGAGTTTCTCAAGAACGGAAGAGCCATACTTGGCGATGCGAGAAAACGCTACGGCAAGCAGCCCTATAGGTTGATCGTCGACACGGGCGAATGTCTTATCCTACCTCCTGAGTATGCAGCAACAATCCGTAACAGCATGGATCTTAGCTTCGCAAAAGCAATAGAGAAGAACTTCTCGGGACACGTTTCCGGCTTCGAGATGTATGCCGTCTTGCTCCACGAACGAAGACTTGTACAAAACGTTGTGAAGGACCAACTTACTAAATATCTGAGTAAGAAGCAAGCAACTACGAATATGATACGAAGCTAACAAGGTTCTTCAAGACATCTTAACAAAGCCTCTCTCGGAAGAAGCAAGTCATGCTCTCGACGTGATATTCGGCCAAGATACGGGTGAGATGACTTTCCTCTTCGTCTCAAACAGATGATACGAGCTAACCACCTAGCAGAGTGGAGAGAAACCATTATAGCAGACAGCATTCTCCAATTGATCGCCCGTCTCTCCACCAGGGTCTTTCTCGGCGACACCATGTGCCGCAACACGGCGTGGCTCGAAGCTTCCAAGGCCTACACGGTGGCAAGCTTCACCATGATTCTCAAAATGACAGCCCTCCCATCCTCGCTCAAGTTCCTCGTTCCCTGGTTCTCCTCCGAGGCGAAGAACGTCTTCAAACATGGAGACACATGCCGCGCAATCCTCACCCCTCTTCTCGCCGAGCGTCGAGCTCTGAAAGCCGAAGCTAGGAGAAACGGCAAACCGGAACCTGTCTTCAACGACATGATCGATTGGTTCGAGCAGAAGAGCGGCGGGAAAGGGTACGATCCAGCTCTGTTCCAGATTGCGCTATCGTTTGTAGCGATACATACGACCAGTGAGCTGCTAACGCATGCTATAACCTTGCTGGCAAACGAACCACACTACGTCGCGGCATTAAGGGAGGAAATCGTGAGGGTACTAACAGCCGTCGGCCTGACCAAGGCGGCGCTCGCAAACCTCACGTTGATGGACAGCGCGTTGAAGGAGTCGCAGCGGTATAGGCCCGCTGCATTCCGTAAGTCGTTCAGTCGATGACGGGCAAGAACCTAAAACTGACCCTGCCCCAGTAACAATGCGCCGTCAAGCCCAACGCACCGTCGTCCTCCCCAACGGCCTCGTCATCAACAAAGGCGAGCAAATCGCCGTCGACGGCTTCAACATGTCAGACCCCAACGTCTACCCCGATCCACACAGATACGACATATACCGCTACCAGCGCATGCGCGCCAGCACCGACCGCGCCACAGTCAGCCAGTCGCATCTCGTTTCCACCGGTCCCAATAACCTGTCATTTGGACATGGCGCACAAGGCTGTCCAGGCAGGTTCTTCGCTGCGAACGAGATGAAAATCGCACTGTGCCATTTGCTGCTCAAGTACGATTGGGAGTTGGCTGAGGGGACGGATCTGGAATCGAGGTTCTTGTTTGGCGAGACGGAGGCGCTGTGGAAGGGGAATAGGCTGAGGTTTAGGCGGAGGAGAGAGGAGATTGATCTGGAGGGGTTGGCTTATGTGTGAGTGGGCTTGAGGCGGACGTGTAGAGTAGCGATATAGCTGTTGATCATGTGATATTGTGTTCGTGTAGCACGACAGCGTTTCAAGTCAGTATTCCTGGTGAGAGGCAAGAGATAATCGGCACTGCAAGAAACATTGCGCAGGGAAAATAGAGCGACTGCTGTTGTGTCGCGATGCGTGATGTTGCTGCGGGCGGGCAGGCTTGATGAGGGCCGCCAAGAATTAGCGCGTGGCGGGTTCGACCGCCCTTGCCCGAGCTTTCGCGCGCCGCCTCACCTCCTGCACTCCATCCACCACCTGTGCGCATTCCGATGCTGGCCGTGAGACTTTCGCATTTACCTATCCTGTTGCGGTATCAACCGACGAGAACTCGGACAGTATGATGGCCTTGCTCGGAAGACATTATTCTACACCAGCACCCGGCGAGTTGATCAAGTCTCCGGGATGATGCGTTGCGGTGGGAAACCTTCGGAAACATTACAGTAATCAGCCCTCGAGATGGCTCAACGTCGGCATGATTCTAGAAGTATACGAATAGTTTCCGTTCCTTCAGACGATCCTGTACACGTAGGGATGTATATATACGCATCACGAACCCTAACCTCACCCTCCCCAACTTACCATGTCGTCGCAGAACCAGCAGCATGAAACAACCGTCTGGCTCTGGCCGACGGGCTTGTTCCCTCGCCGGGTCGTCTATTACCTCCGCGCAAAGAACATTACCTCTTCGATGCTTCACGAGAAGAACATCCACCTCACCCCCCTCTTTCTTGACAAAAAAGCGCCGACGCCAGACCTCGTCCCCCACCCCGGCCTCGAAGCCCGTCCTACCGGGACCTCGGTGCCGGCACTGCGCATCACATACGCCGATGGTACGATCTTCTGGATATACGAGTCGAATGCGATGATGGAGTACTTCGAAGAAGTCTTCAGCGTGGCCAATGGGTATTCTGATGTGAGGGGCGCAACCATACAGCAACGAGCTCGGACGAGAGACATCTTGAGCCTGCTCTCCGATGCCGTCACTTGGAGTAACGTCGCGCTTGTACATTCGCATCCGAACACGGTGTCCTGGTCGGGCTTGACGGAGGACGAGATGAGTGAGAGCGCGGCAAAGCATGCGCGTGGCAAGTTCCACATGCTCTTGTCGCGGTTGGAGGCTCGGATACAAGGAGACGTGGTTGGCAACAAGAGCGAAAGTTTGAGTGGTGATGGCGCAAACGTCACATTAGCGGACCTCTGCATCATGGCCCAGGTGGAGTATATGCAGGAGATGTATGGTCTCGATTGGGTCGCCGAACATGGGGTGTTGAGGGTCTGGTATGATAGGAGCAAGGGACAGAGTTGGGTTGTCGGTAGGAGTGCGCTACAGGACGTTGAGAGAACGGGCGAATGGACCGGAGTACTTGACATTTAAGGGCCATAGTATGTAGCTGCAAGATTTCCAATCGAGCTTCTACTGCTCTCAGTCGAATCGCGCCCTGTTTCGCTGTTTCGCCTTTTCGGACATCAAAACTATCGCAATCATACTGTATACCAACGTACCATATCAATGACCTGCCCAAAGGACTACATCGCAGTCTGAGTTTAAGGTGCACTCTATTCATGCTGCTGTTCCGTTGTTTCGCGGTTGCGATGTCGTTGCGCGGCTCGGTGCGAGAGCTTGGGGCAGCCGCCAAGAATGAGCTGAAGCGGGGCGTCAGTCCAGCCAATTCCGCGGTCATGCGCACCGTCCCACCTTCCATCACGCAGCATGCACACCTATGGAAGCTGACGCGCGACCGCCAGCCAGAGCCTCACCCTTCTCAGAACCCGCCGATGAGAGCTCTATTCGGCTTCTCCGGTTCTCGCAGCCCGAAGATGGCGTCTTCGTTGGCAAGCTGCAGAAGTTCCCCATCGCCAGCGCGCCTCATTACTACACAGCCAGCTATGTGTGGGGCGAGCGCAAGTACAAAGGTGCAAAGATCAATCTGAAAACCGGGGGACTGCCCATATTAAACAGCCTGGTATCATTTATTCACATGGTCACCCGCCATGGCGACTTCAAGGCCACAGACTGGTGGTGGATTGATTCGCTGTGTGTCAACTTGGATGATGCCAGCGAACGCGAGAAACAGGTGCGCATCATGGCAGACATCTACAAAAGAGCCAGGCGAGCAATAATCTGGCTGGGTGAGGAGAAAGAAGATGGTAGCGACTGCACTGATGCCATCGACTTCATGCACTACCTGTCCACCTTGCAGATCGGGTTCAACGGAGACGATCTTGCCATGCGCAAGAAGCTCGAGAACTCTGAGTTCACCAACAAGTGCGTCGCCGTCAGTAATTTGCTCGCCAGGCCATGGTGGACAAGGGTCTGGACGTTACAAGAGTTTGTCTTGCCAAAAGAGGCGAAACTCTACTGTGGCGTGGGTAGTATCAGCCGCGGAAGGTTCAAAAGTGCAATCTATAGCATCTTCCTTTGCAGCACCATCAGCAAAGACTTTGAACACGAGCTTGTTCCGCGGAAGCTCTTTGATGGAGCCTTCAATCGCCGCCGCATTCATCAATGGCACACCAAGCCGGCCTCAATCGGTATCAATCTGATCGCCATTATGGCGTACCTGGGTAATCACTCCGCTACCGACAGTAGAGATCGCATTTACTCCGTGCTAGGTTTGATCACTGAACAAGATCGAGCGCTCATCGGACCTGCCGAATATACTACCAGCATTGCGCACCAATTCGCGCGGCTTGTGCGCTCTTTCTGGAACGTTCATCAGTCCCTGGATATTGTCTGCTTTGCGCATCTATTCTGTGCCAATGCTGCAGTCAGCGACCCCGGCGTCCAAAATCCTGTGCCTACCTGGGCTCCAGACTGGAGGACGACAATCGACTTCGCTTCGCCTGTGCCGCTGATGGCAAGCCAAAGTGCGTGTGAGCATATTGGAAACTTCAGACCACTCAGATCAACACGCTGGAAAGCAATGTACGATGCTCCGGGAGAGAAACTGAGGAAAGAGGCAGATGTTTCCTTTGCCGAAGACTTGAAGGAGCTCCACTGCAACGGTGTCGTGCTGGATACTGTTCACGGGCTCGGTGGGCTTGACGAGCGGGAATTGCGATGCGAGAGCTTTGTCTGCCGCGAAACCAGTCATGACTTGATGCAATTGCGACAAGACCAGCATAGCGTCTCGCGAGTCGCAAAGCAGCCTACCGAGTGGCTTGAAGCCATAGCGCGGTCCCTGGTCATCGATCGTCGAGACAAATACCTTTGCTTCCAGGCGCCAGATCACTACATCAGCGACTTCCTCTTCCTCTGCCATGCCTGTGTTGACGGCGATCCCGTCGACTGGAGCTTTGCAACATGGTTTGAGCGCAACCGTCATGTGATGTTCGGCAACTCGTCGCTCGAAGACATAGTCCGACAGATACCCACAAAGTTCACTTCACCCCCTCCAACACTGCATCGGCCACCGTCGCATCCCGTACATCAGATGAACGACAAGCTCGATACCTTTCTCTCACGCTTCCACGATACTGTGCGAAAGAAAGCGCGTCGGCTGATGGTCACCGAACAAGGCTACGTTGGCATGGCGCCGTGTCGCGCAAGACCCGGCGATGTCGTGGCTGTCATGTTCGGCTGCAGCATCCCGCTCGTCTTGCGAAAAGCTGCGTCGCAAGCTGTGTGGCAGGTTGTCGGCGAGGGCTTTGTACATGGCAAAATGAATGGCGAGATTGCAGACGAGCTGAAGAGCGGGACGCTCAACGTACGTCGGTTGAGGCTAGTTTGAGCTGCCGCAACTACTTCTCACGCGCGTGATGCGTCGATAGAAAAAGGTGACCAGCGAGCGGTACAGCGCATGCAAGGTAATCGGTACCTCTGCTATAGCTCAGCCTTCTGGTCCGACATCAGCCTTGTCTGTGTTGGTGCACCTATTGCCAACCCAGATGACCCGAAACATCTCACCATCAGGATACTTCGAGCGCAACCCATCATGTCGCTAAAGCTCATATCCTTCTATATTCTCTTGCTTTCAAGACTTGCGACGACGCTGCAACTCTTCTAGACTTCGTCCAAGGCTCGCGACTTTCTTTCCCGCACCAGGCTGTCCGCCAATCGACAACACTGCGATAGAGAATTCCACTTCCCGCAGCTATTGACGAAGTGTCGTATCACAGGTCACATGGCCATATCATTGCGCCTGACAGTCATCTTATTCGTTGCGCGAAGTGAAAATAGTCCCTGGGCATCAAGCGTGTGTCGATCGGGGGCCATTTCGCTGTATGATACCACAGCTTTGCGCCACTTCGCATCGTGATTCGCAATAGTCGGCCCAGGCTGCTGTTAGCGTACGAGAAACCGAAGATAGGTTTGCTGCGCGTAAGTATAAAGGCATGCCTCCTGCACTGGCCCTGCCTGCTTCAGCTTTAGATCGCGGCACCTTACCTCGTAGAGAACAAGCCGCACAAAGACCTCCCCAACATGTCCGGCGACTTCTACTATCCCCTCGCTCCACTCTATGTCATCGTCAACGACAAGGTGGAACTGTCGTGGTGGTCAACGTTTGCCGAACGACTACAGTTCTGGTGCTATGAGGCCAGCACCAACCCAGATCTAGGTTACAGTGCGGTCCTCACAACACATCTCCAAGATCATGTTTGACCTAACAGGATTTTAGTATACGAGTACGACGTTCCGCAGAATGGCACTCAAGATCTATCGATGCCAATGCTGGAGCAGGACGTGAAAGATTGGAGCGGGCCTGTCAGTTGCGGTATCAAGTTCTATGAGAGAGGTGGAACCACGAGTGTCTTTGCAGCTTCAGTCACCATAACCTCCGTTGCGACTCAGCCCGCATCAATCTTCGCTTCAGCGTCGACTGTCACGTACGAGCGCACCACGACAAGCGCATCCGCCTCGGGCACGGCATCAACCCCCGCCAACACAGGCAGTACAGCACCGCCAACCGTGATGCCCACCAATCCAGTCGTCCCCACAACCTAGAGCGACAGTGCTGGTCTGTCCACAGGAGCTAAGGCTGGCATCGGCGCCGGCATTGGTGTTTCCGCAGTGCTTGTCGCGGCGGCTGCATATCTGTTCTATCGCAATCACCGCAAGCTGAAAGACCTCAACTCACGACTTAGCTACCAATCTCAAGCGGAGCAGTTCAACAAGCCTCCGGGTGTTGCCGTCGCGCCTCATGGAAGCAATGGATACGAGAGGCCGTACAGCGAGGCCACAATGTCGCAGGTTCATTCTTCGCCGCAGGTACCGGTACAGCTTTCATAGGCGTGCGCTTGGGGCGAGATCGCTGATAGTATTGCGCGCCCTCGCAAGAGGTCCTGATCAATTTCGCGGTTATAGTATCACTAAATACTCTTCCTTTCCATTGCCCCACCTGCACACTTCTGAAGGTTATGACTAGAGAACGGAAGCGGAAAGTGTAGTCAGCCCGACTAGGATTGCCTCTCACTAGTCTTCAAAAGCGTATCTGCACCCCACACGAAGTCACAGCAGCCCTGGCCAACCACTATCTCCGACTCTCCACCCCCCGCAACGGGCGTGCCTAAGGTTTCTCTCGAAAAGACTCAGGCTCGAGCGCGAAGCCCAGAAGCCTTGTCAGGATTGCTGTGCTTCTGAAGCCCGCCAATTGGCGATGATGCCAAGTGTATGGCGCAGCCCATGTAACGTGGCCACCACCCGCGTTTTCGGCTACGGCTCAGCCTCACAGAAGCAATCTTGAGCTCCCCTCAACAACAAACATCCAAAATGACCCTTGCGCCAATCCACCTGGACTTACGATGTGACGAAACTCAGATTCATAGATCAACGACGTATGCCAGCTTGACGATGCGCGACACCGCCCCGACTTCTACCAGCGTGCCCAGGCCTGCGGCATAATGTTCCGCATCGTGCTGCATCTTGGACCCACTCCACATGATGGCAACGACATAACATGGCATACTGGCATCTTGTGGCTTCAACATGGCGGTCCCATCCATTCGTTATCGTGAAAAAGAAACTCGCTTGCACATCGGCTAGTGTGCTGGATGGGGGCCATTTCGCTACACTGCGCTCTCAGCCTCACGCCACTTCGCCTCGGGATTCGCGCGTTATCGATCGAGGCTGCAAAAGACTTGCTGGCAATAAAGCTAAGAACATGCGAGGTAGAGATAGGCAGAGTGCTGGCTTCTACAAAGCCGCTGCTGCTGCACCAGTATACAATAATCTTTCTGTTGTTCCGTGTTGCTCCTCAGTTTCTCTTTCTCCCTTCTTCGTCAACCTCGCTTCGCCGAAAGCGACTGAATATGTCAGGTGCCTTCAACTACCCGCGCGAGGAGCACCATGTGGTCCTCAATGTCGATGACTCAGTGGTGGTAGACTGGTGGTCGACCTTTGCGGACACACTCGTGATCCAATGCTATGAACGAGGCGATATCGAAGCAGGGGACGAAGAAAGTGAGATCCATCACAGCCCTTCTTATCGTCGCAGCTCCGCTAACATAGAATGAAGGCTTCAGCATAGTAATCAATCAGAACGGAACCGAAGCATGGTCGCCAATCTACCTGTCCCGACGATTCGATGACTGGTCTCTTCCCGCAGGGTGTGTGCTTTCGATGGAAGAAGCGGGCGCCGGTAATATCGGAGGTGCGACGATAGGCGTTACGTCAGCCACTTCTTCTCAAGCTGCATCGATATTCGCTTTGTCTTCGACCGTAGCGTTGAACAGCGAGTCATCGTCTTCACCAACATCAACGCCGGCACCATCCACGACCCCGATCTCAAGCCCTGCTAGTACAGTACCATCGATCCCGTCGACACCCACACCCACAGGGCCCACCGATGCTACCGCAACAGGTGCAAATAGCAGCGGCGGCTTATCGACTGGCGCAAAAGCTGGTATCGGTGCTGGTGTCGCGGTGGGCGCATTACTTGTGGCAGCAGTGGCAATCTTGTTCTACCGCAATCGTCGCAAGATGAAGGACATGAATACCAGGATGAGTTATCAACCCGAGGCTGAAGCGCAGCAATACGAGAAGCCACCTGGTGTTGCAGTGGCGCATCACGCAGTCGACCGGGAAACAAAGTCATACAACAACACCCCAACTTGGTCGCAGGAACTTCCATCGCCGCATGTGCCGCCGTCGGAGCTTGCGGCTACTCGATGACCATGCGAAGCCTTGGAGTACAACAAGGAGGAATGTATTTGATCTGCTATACGACGGCATTATGGAACTACTGAGTTGCGGGACGAAGAATGAGAAGGGCAAAGGGAAGAACATACCACACACGCTCGCGTTACAATCTCAATAGTACCGATAGACTCGATACGTATCACTCACCAGATCAATGGCATGCTCTCGGCCCTGCGCCTTAATCTCAGCCTCCAACTGAGTCGCTCTGAGCTTCTGCTGCGCGTTCATATTGCAACGCTGTGTCGCTTGATCCATGCGCTGCTGTACCTCGATTGGTCGACATGGAGGAAAGACGTATCGCGGTAAGGGCCCACGCTCCGGCCAGACATTGTAAACCCGCAGCGCGTTATTCAACCCAGGGACCACAAAGATGCCGTCGGGATGCGCCGCGCAACTGAATCCAATCCAATCTGTGAATCCGGCCAAGCTGAGCAGAGGCATACCGCCGTATGGTAGCTGCGGCGCGCCCGGATTGCGCGTCACGACCTTGTGATCGAAGAAGAAGCCTTCCATCACGTTTTTGAACTCATAGTCTGCCATGTCTTCTTTCGCGAACATGCCGCCATGGGTAAGACTTCTCTTCCCTACCGTCAAAACACGGGAGAGTCAGCAGTCGCTCTCGCGCAACGCAGGTACAACAGCGCCCTTCACCCAAAGTCAGCGGAGCACTCACATATGTTGTCAGAGTCCGGGCAGCGCGATACCTCCGCGAAGCTCGAGAACGCCTCTGGCGTTATGTATCCGGTGCCTCTAGGATCAAGGTTCGCGAAGAACTGCTTCATCAACGCTTCGAACGCGGGTGTAGGCAATCCGTTCGTGTAGAACATGTGTTCGGTCCAGCCTGATGGTGGAGGCACCGGCTGCTGAGGCCGGGGAGGGAGCGGAGGCGGAGCACCGTACATGGCCAGTGAGTGACAATGGCGCGCGAAAGTGGGTGTCGCTGCGCGTTTGTCGCGCGACAGCGATGCGTTCGTGATGCGATACAAGGTGCCGCTGCCACGAGCCCCAAAGTCCAGGATGATTTCGCAGTTCAGCGAGGAAGAGGAGAAAGGCGGGGCAGGACAGCTGCCAGCATGGCCAAAACACGATGTTCAGCTGAGAAGCCCTTCCTGATTACGCGCCTGGCAAGCGAGTGGCGCATCTCGTCAACTTCAACGACGAGCGAACCCGTTATATTCTGACCCATGAACAGCATTGCGTGAATGCTTGAAGTTTCTTGACTGACAACACAAGCCCGACACCACCCAAAGCCGAAGGAACTTTATTGTAGTAGAAGGGAAGGTGGTGAGTCTTCGATTGGTTGGCATGCGGCAGCTCGCTTGGCCGCTGTCAAACCTGGGCAAAGCCCTTGGCGCCGGACATTTACGATACACAACCTCCTCCACCTCGACACGACAATGTAGAGATCGTCTTCTAAGGTTTCTCACGGCAGAGCTGACATGTTTGCGATCTGCATGACAGATCGCTGTGGCTGAACGCCACGGGAAACATATTCGCTCACGTTCCGCAAACGTGCTCAAATCCGCGCAGGCAGCATTGTCGTGATGCTGAATGTAAGCCTCCCGCACGAGCACTCTCTTACGCCCGGCGAGGGAGTTCCTGCAGGTTCTTACCCTCGTTCGCTTCAATTGAGCGAATTCTTCGTCCCGTCTCCTCTTCTTTTTCTTCGGCTTGTCTGCCGCGCCCGCCCAGACTCAAAGGATCATGGCGGCTAGGGCGAGACTGGAGATGGCGCTGTTGTAGAATAGACGTAGGAAAGTGACGAAACGCCTGTGCGCAGCGAGCGCAAGGATATAAGAGCTCTTTCGCAGTACCCTGTTCGCTACGTGCTCAGCAAGTGTTAAGAATCGGAGGTTACTCAGCATCACATACGCCGACTGTGTCTTAGCTCGTTCGCAGGACTCACGATACATCATGAATCTCAGATTCTTTGGACAGGTTGTGGCGCTCGCCTCCTGTTTGCTGCCCTCCGCGGTGTGTCAAGCAGGAAACAGCTCATCGCCCGTCTTCACACCCGAGCTCAACACCATGCGTACCCTCTCCGTCGGATGCGTACGTATATCTTCGCAAGTCATAGACCTCATGCGCTTACCTTTTCCAGGTCATCTTTCCCGGGTTTGAGCTCCTGGATGTTTTTGGCCCCATGGAGATGCTGACCATTGTATGAACCCAACGATACTCACAGTCCTCGTGTCTCAGCGCTGACAGCGTCCATGTAGCTCTCGGCCTTCAACAAGATGACCCTCTCCATCATCGCCGAAGAGACTGGTCTCGTGCCCGCTGGCATGCAACCATACGGCCCTGACGACTACAGCATGCCGCCAACCGACTTCGGCCACGTCATCGCACCTCGCATCGAAGCGACCCACAACTTCAAGAACGCGCCGGCGCTCGATATCCTCTTCGTTCCCGGTGGGCTCGGCGTTGTGACCCTAGACCAAAACAACGACACTGGGGTGGCAGACTTTGTCAAGATGCGCCTCGCTTCGCTCGAGTACCTGGTCGGCGTAAGCTTCGGCGTAGCGACGCTTGCGAACGCTGGTGTGCTCGACGGCAAGAAGGCGACAACGAACAAGTCTGGGTGGGCGTGGATAACGGAGCGCGGACCGAACGTGACGTGGGTGCCGCAAGCGCGCTGGGTCGAGGACGGTACTATCTGGACTACGTCGGGAACCGCGTCTAGTATGTGCAACCGGAAGGACCGCATCGCGGAGGCGTCGACGGCGCGATTGCTGACATGACAAAGGTCTCGATGCGACATACGCCCTCTTGAGCAGATTCTACGGCGCACAACCGCTCAACTACCTGCTCAACGTGATTGAGTATGCGCCGCACCTGGACCCTGCCTGGGACCCGTACGCGACGACATTCAACGTCCCCGGTTCGCACAACTCGTCCTCGCAGGGTTGCGTCAACCCTGTCCCGATGCCTATGCGATAAGCAAGTATGTCGGGGAGTGTTTGTGTTCGCGTCGCGTTCGCGAGAGTTCAACACAGTCGCGACGCGTTCGCAAGAGATTGTTACAGTCGCCACGGTGTCTTAAGGTTAAGACGATGTACTAGAGCCGCAGGACTTGAGTTTTGCGCGATAACGCGAATATTAGTTATACACTTTAGAAGTAGATAAAATCTATATAATTAAATCTATTAAGATAAACTCTATTATTTATTACTACTTTAATAATTTTTTTCTATTAGTAAACTAATAACTCTTTAGTAAAAGCTAGTCTTTCTAAGAGAATATCTTAGAGCTACTAAGTCTAAGTAATTTTTAGTAGAGGTAATAAGTACTAATAAAAAGTAAAACGTAAATCTAAAGTAGTAGCTCTAAGTCTTTTAAACTTTACTATCTAAGTCTTATAGATTAAATCTATAATTTCTATTTAATTAGATTTAGTATAGTATTAGATAAGAAACTTTAAAGCTCTATTTATAATACTTTTTATTTCTATAATATAGTATTTTACTAGTAATATAGTTTTAACTTATAATATATTTATTATACTATACTATATTTAAAACTATTTATATCTAGACTTTTTACTTTACTTTATAAAGTTATATTATAATTACTTATAATAATTATTATTTTAGTATTAAAGTTAGAAAGTAGTTATAATTATATAATTATAGATACTATTTATTAGTAAACTAATAATTCTATAGTTTATAAACTAGTTCTAAAAAAGTAAAGTTTATTACTAGTATACTAAAGAATATATAACTAAAGATTTTAGTACTCTAGAGATAGATAGACTAAAGCTTAGAGTCTTAGCGCTACTACTTCTAAAGTAGGTAAAGCTTCTAAATTTAAGCTAGCTATAAAGCTATTTTAATAATAAAGTACTTTATAAAAGAATTTTAATACTAATTTCTAAGAGAATTATAATATAAAATTATATACTTATTAGCTTATAACTAATAGAGTAATATATTCTAAAGATTTATAGTTAGAATATATATACTAAAATCTTAGTAAAAGTATACTTTTTCTATTCTATAAGTTACTTTTAGAAATCTAAAGATATATTAAAGTAGCTTAAATCTAATACTAAATACTATACTAGTACTTTAAACTATTTATAAGTCTTTTAGATAATTATAAATATAAAACTAATCTCTTACTAGTTATATTACTTTATTTACTAGAGCTCTACTAAGTTACTTTATTATTATTTAATTACTTTTCTCTAAATTATATTATCTTTACTATATTTATAAACTCTTTTAAGATTATTATAAAAGATAGTATTATAGTAAATCTTATAATCTTTTTTATTATTCTTATAACTACTACTATTATATATACTATTAAAACTTACTTTACTAATAATATAGTATCTACTAGAACTATTAATAGTTATTATCTTATAAGTATCTTATAAAAGTATATAAAATAAGTAGATTCTACTATTATTCTTTACTAGAACTTTACTTTTAATAATTTTCTATTAGAGTTAACTCTATTATATATAAGCTAATATTATATATAAGCTAATACTATATATAAGATAATATTATATATAAGATAATATTATATATAATACTAGAATACTTTATAACTCTATTATAGCTTTTAGAGCTATAGCTTTATATATTATATAGTATAAAATATATAGATTTTACTTTAAGTCTAATATATTCTTCTTTCTTAGCTTATCTATAAAACTATATCTTATTTATATTATAATATAAACTAGTAACACTAATATTAGCGTAAATTCTATCTTTCTATAGATATCTAGATATTAGAAATAATACTCTATACTTATAGCTCTTTTTACTCTATACTAAGAATAATATATTCTATAAATTTATAAAGATTAAGTAGTAGTATAAAAGTATATTATTCTTAGTAGCGCTATTATTCTACTACTAGATTTATATTATTATTATATATATAAGCTATCTTCTCTTTCTTATATCTACTAAGTATTAATCTAGAATTAAGTATATTCTATAATTCTCTACTAGCTTCTTTAAATAAAATATATAGTATAAATTACTATTTAGAGTAGTAAGAGCTAATAATTAGAAAAGATAATAAATATATAATTCTTTTAGCGTGTTCTTAATAACTACTTATTCTAGCTTATAGTTTTAAATTATACTAAATAGCTACTTAGTAAATATATTACTAATATAGCTAATTATTAAAGTATTATAAAATATATATAGAATAAAATATATATACTATTTTACTAGTATAAGTCTAAGACTTATAATAGTATATCTTAGTAACTTAAAACTAAATAAAGCTACTCTTAGACTTCTTAATAGTTATTAGTTAGAACTAATACTTATAGTAGTATAATATACTCTATATATATAAAACTAAGATATATATATATACTAAAGTTATATTAATTAATAGCTACTAGTAATAATAGCTAAATCTAAAGATATTATAGAAAATTCTAAAACTTAATTTAAAAGTTAGACTAAGTTAAAACTACTACTATTATAGTTTATAAGAAAAGATCTACTATAAAAGCTATATTATCTATTAAAGTAAAAGCCTTTTCTTTACTATTTATATAACTTTTATAACTCTACTTCTAAGAAGTTAAATTTACTAAAGTAATAATAACTTATAAAGTTCTATTCTTTCTAAAAGAAATAAAAAACTTTATGTAATATATACTATACTACTAGAGATAAAGTAAATAATAAATTATTCTATTTCTATACTTATAAAGCTTTCTAGTTAGTTTTTATACTATAGACTAGCTCTTAATACTTCTAGAATCTATAATCTATTAGTATTAGATACGTAGACTTTAAGTTAAAGTCTGCTATAAGTAGTTTATACTACTCTAGTTTTTAGTGCTTACTTAGGTTAAAGTCTATAAGATTTTCTAGATAATATCTAGGTTAAAGTTCTAAACTTTAATTATCTTATA